TCAGCTTCATCCTAAAGGAACAAGGCTAACTTAGGCTGTCTCAGTCAGCTAATTTTGAACCCTTTATTCAGCTGTATTTGGCAGAACAAATGCAGGTTCAATGAGAGAAAAGAGACTAAGTACCTTCTGTGAGACCAAAGGCATCAGCTTTAGATGTCTGAAATTAAACAAGAATTTTGTTAGAGCTAAATCTGTTATTGTTTTGCTGGACTATGTGGAAAAATCAACCTTTAACTCAGCTAGTAAAAACTGGAAATACATTGTAGGCTCTCATATCAGTCTCTTTTTTTCCAGCAGCAGCACTTCTTTGATGATGAGGACAGAACAGTTCCAAGTACACCAACTCTTGTAGTTCCACATCGTACAGATGGATTTGCAGAAGCCATTCAGTAAGTAGATGTGAAAAGAAAAAGGAAAAAAAGGCTTTTCTCTCTTCTTTATTCTATTGCTTTCTATTTTTCAGCGAAATGAAAATAAATTTAAATTAAATTCACTTGTGATGGAAGTAACATGGTAGGTAGTAGGATAGATAACTGCATGTGCAGATAAGTAATTATTGTTTGACTTGTGTGTCATATAACTGATCAACAGATTAGGAAGTGAATATTCTCCCATGTATTGTAACCTGGTGATTTAAGAAGAGATTAAACAAACAAAAAAGTTCTATCAAATTTCCTTCCTTGTTCTTCCTCCCTCCCCATTAATATTGCCAGTGAAAGTTGCCTCCATTTCTGTTTTTGGGATGTTCTGGACATGTCCAGCAATCCACTTAAAATTGTGAGAGTTCATAGAATAGATAAGTAAAGAATATTCTCTTCAGGACTGTTGTACTGATTTTGAATGCATTGCTGATAATTTGAGAGCTAATTGCTGTTTATTTAGCAGTAGCTCAGCTGATTTTTGTGGTCAGTGTTAGTTCATTTTGTCTCATGCTTGATTTGTTCTCTTGGTCAGAAAGTTCTCCCCCCTGCCCTGATCTTTGGTGGAGTTGCAGAATTCCTTAAGTTTGTGTTTTCCAGTTCCCCCCAGGTAGCTGGAGTTCCTCGGTTCAGATTTGGGCCCCCTGAAGATATGCCACAAACCAGCTCCAGTCACTCTGATCTTGGGCAGCTGGCATCACAAGGAGGTAAAGCACTTCTGGGCTCTCTTTTCTGTGGGTCTTTGAGTGAAAAAGAGAGAATTCAGTCAACAAAACACAATTTTGTTTTGTGTTTTGTTGACTGAAACACAGAACTTCAGGAAACTGTTGAAGTGTGGAAACCTGCAACTCTAAGATAATTGTCAGCAGGGAGAGAATAACAGAAATTGAGAAGGTGTTTCCTTCAAGCTGCTACATTTATAGTTGTGTTAGGATTTTGAAATTGAAGGAAATGTTGAAGAAATGGTTTTTAACTTCAATTTTACTATTGGTTGTAGCTGCCCTGTAGTGAAACAATAGAGGAAAACATCAAATGCCGAGAAATCTTTGGGCTATATCCTTATCTGCTCAGAGATGCTCAGGCTGTTGTGTTTGTTGTTGGTCTGAATCTGTCCCTTTCCTGGAATCCCTGTTGTCATGGAACACATGTTCTCTGAAGAAAGCTCATAGGAAAATAATGCAAGGATGAAAGTTAAAAAAACAAGCATTAATATTTTCATCAAAGTGTTACCTTCCAATAAATTATGATCAGCTCTGGCAGTAAGTCAAAACAAAATAACAAAAAATCTGCCTAAGTACAAGTGACTGGATTATATCAAATACCCAGATGGAAGACATTGGCTAATCCTTTTTTTAGCCACTCATTTGGCTGGATTGTCACTGGAACTTTGTGTTGCAGGTTTAGGGATGTATGAAACCCCACTGTTCCTTGCCCACGAGGAGGAATCAGGGGGTCGTAGTGTCCCCACAACACCGTTACAAGTGGCAGCACCGGGTAAGTGGCAGAGGCTTGCAGAGCGAAGCCGGGAATGATTCCCTGTGGTCAGGGGGAGTACTGGGCAGCCTGTCCCCGAGCTGCCTGTGCTTCACAGGCTCTGTGGGCAGGGCCTGAGGGTGTCTGTGCTCCCCAGTGACGGTGTTCACAGAGAGTGCCTCGGCCGACGCCTCGGAGCACGCGTCCCAGTCCGTGCCCATGGTCACCACCTCCACCGGCAGCCTGTCCACCACCACCGAGCCTGGCGCTGGTGACGACGCCGACGAGGTCTTCGCAGAGGCAGAGTCTGAGGGGTAAAGCACCACTGCTTTGGCTCACTAGCACTGCTGACATGTTCATTGTCACCCAGGGGCAGCTCAGACAGCCTTTTGTAGTGCTGTGAGGCAGAACAGTCTGAGTCTTCATCCAAAACCAGTGGTTTTCTGCTGATCTTCTCCTTGGGGTTTACCAAAAAAAATTTCTTTAAGAATGCAGAGCACTCTAACATCAGTATTTGACTATTGCAAAGGCAGAGGTTGAAGCATCAGTTTGTAGAATAAAGACTAAGGCATTCCTGTGTAATACAGAAAATCACTCCGCATGCAAAGCACACATATATGATTAAGTCACCCAGTTAAGACAGTGAATGTACAAAAGATGAAGCACAGGGCTGGTATAGACAGTTCTTAGTGAACTTTGAAGACAAATAATTTTGTCTTTTACTTTACAAGCACAACTTTTAATACTTACAATAATTGCTATATGTTTTATTATGATAAAGTAAAGATCTAAAAGGGAACAGTTTATAATTTTCTGCTATATTTTACTTTTGATTTTCATTGAATCTTTGTGTTCCAAGAGAGGGTGTTTTTTTCCTGGATCTTTCTGAAGCTATGCAAATATACTTACATGGTTCTCCTCCTCCACCTTCCCTTCTAGCATTACTTCAGAAGCGGGTCTAGAAATCGATAGCCAGCAAGAGGAAGAATCTGTTCAAGCATCTGATGAGTCAGATCTTCCTTCAACTAGTCAGGATCCTCCTTCAAGTTCATCTGCAGGTACAGGATAATCACAGTAATAGTTCATACCTTTTCATTAAGAGTGGGAATTCCTTTGTCCAGCATAGTGGCTGGTAGCCAGGATACACAAAATAAGATAAAATCCTTAGAATCAAAGACTCATTAAATGCTTTGGGGTGGAAGGGATCTTAAAGCCCATGCAGTGCCACCCCTGCCATGGGCAGGGACACCTTCCACTAGCCCAGGTTCCAGCCTGGTCTTGGGCACTTCCAGGGGCAGCCACAGCTTCTCTGGGCACCCTGTGCCAGGGCCTTACCACTGTTATGGAGAACAATTCTTTCCCAATATCCCATCTGACCCTACCCTCTGGCAGTGGGAAGCCATTCCCTCTTGTCCTGTCCTTACAGGCCATTGTCCCAAGTCCCTCTCCAGTTCTCCTGGAAACCCTTTAGTCACTGGAAGGGGCTTTAAGGTCTCCCCAGATTCTGTAAGAGCAAGATCATATTTTGATGCTTATAGATTCTTTGGTAAACCATTTTACCTTGCACCGCAGTGACTGGAGTAGGCCAAGTAAGAACAACACTTCAAGGAGCAAACATTACTGATACTTTGGTGATTTATTCATTGGCATATTTGATGTCTTTAAAATATTTTTAATTAAATTGTGAAACAACAATAAGTTAATCTCTATTGAGTTATCAATTAACCCCTTGTATAGAGAGCAAGAGAAATGCAGTTTATTTGTTTTGAAGCTTTTATTTATCTTGGAGGAGAGGTCAATAAAATAAGGAAGGCACTTTTATCATTCTAAAGTAAAGAAAGCATAACCCATATCAAACATGTAGAGATGAGAAGCTGGCAGGCACAGCCCCCCTTTCTTTCTGCTTCTCCCCACAGACACGAGCAGCACTCAGCCCAAGTCCCTGCGCCGTGTCCGGCTGCAGCCCCCGACGCTGAGGACGGGCGTGCGTGGCCGGCAGTTCAACAGGCAGAGGGGTAAGTGCTCCTGGCTGTTCCTGGCTGCTCCCAGGCTGGCAGGGAGTGAGTGAGGGACACACAGCCCTGCCTCCAGTTTGGTGTGTGACCCTGAGCTCTAGTTTGGGTTTAGTCTGTTAGGCTGAGCAAGTTTCAGACAGGCAAACTTCCTTCTGCAGTGGCACGTGGCTCTTACCAGTAGAGAGAATGTAGAGGGCATTAGATCTTCAAAGTTCTAAAGGAGAGTTTCAGGAATCTGTTAGGACAGCAGTTTAGAAAATTCTGGTTTTAGTATTAGAGGAGCTTCCATTTGGTACATTAAGGATTCCAGTTATATCAATGTGTACTCATTGAAAAAAGCTTTATTGGAAGTATTACAGGTTTTCCAGTGTAATGGAGTTAAACCATGGCAAGAAATTATTTTTGCAACTTCTGTACTTTAAAAAAAGCCTTTGGATTTTGTTTTGTTTTGCATTATTTTAACATTGTGGAAGACTCAATATTAGCATTGAAATATAGATCAGCTGGTATTAAGGGGAAAAAATAAGGAGATGGGACTGGGATAGATTTTCTTCCATCTGTCACCATTTTTTTTTAATAACAAGAACGAGGGACTATCTGATTTCAGATGTGGTAAGAATCCTGTGCTCATTGGTTTGGTTCAGGATCACAAATCACCCCCAGCCTTTTGCATGACACAGGTGACATGTACATGTGTCACCAGGCTTAGAGGGAGAGAGGGGAAACTTGAACTGTATCAGAAAGAACCACTCCGCTGCCCTGACAATTCCTTAGGGAATGATGAACTATCACCTGTGCAATGGTTGATTAGAAGGGTTTATACTAATGCACTTGTTTTCTTTCCCTGCACAGGTGTAACTCATGCTATGGGAGGCAGAGGAGGCCTGAACAGAGGAAACATTAGTTAAATGAAATGTAAAGGACTTCCAGCTGTATACAAAATGCCAGTTTGCCTGTGATTGCTTAGTGTAATGAAGCCAGAGCTTGAAGCAGCATTTTAATACTTAGAGTTGTGTGCACATATTTCATTGTCTTTTATTAATAAAATTAGAAAAAAAACATTGACATCCAAATGGCATCTTGATTTAACTCCTCTGCTGTACATCACTTGCTGGGACAGTTGTACCAGTCTTTGGTTACAGTCTTTCCTGTGAGAGCAGTAACAGGCCGTGCTATTCTTTTGCCAATATCCAAACTGTAGTACCGATCTGAAAGGAAGAGAGGTCAGCATTAAATTCCAGAAACTACATTTAATTCATGGAAAGAATTCACAAATTCAAGCCTGCATTTTAGTGTCACTTAGGCCTGGATAACAGATTTACTGTTCCATGTGCATATAGGGAGCTGACAGGCTCCAGCAATAAATTTCTGTCCTCAGCTTTATTTTTCAGGTGTCCTTGGTTGCAGTAAGTTTTATGACATTGCTAATAATTAAACCTGTCCCAGGAGCAGGGAAGAATGTTCTTGTGTTGCTAGAACACAGAAATAGTCTTAAGAATTTGGAAATCAAACTACATCCACAACAATCCTGCATTCACTACAGAAGTGGGAAGTCTATAGTCCCTGAGTGTGAATGGGCCTGTGAGGCTTATTCCTCCAAGGTGAGGAATTGGATCCTACTGACAGGGACTTTAGTAGCCTGTATTTGAGTATAGCTTGTTCTTAGAGCTATTTAGTTTTCTGAAAACTGAGGAATGCTTATATGGAATCCTGGCTGGGGGAATGAGTCTACCTAATCTAGGATCATAAATATTTTTTTTGAGGTAAGTCAAATGGTTCATCTCCCTCCTTTTTGTGTTTTGTCAGAAACATAGTTCCATAGAAACCATTGAAATACTTGCTGTGATCCAAAGACTTCGGTCTATCATTAACATAATCCTTCTTTTAAGGTTTGTCTCTTTACAAGGCTGAACTCCCTGGCAATGCTTTCCCCAACTGGCTCCTTTTGAACCTCTGTATTTCATTGCTGCACCTTGTCCTGATTTTTAATAGAAACATCTCTTGATTATGGACAGTATTTTAATTCTCAGGACTTTTTAGTAGTGCTGAAAGCACTAGCACAAGTGATAACGGGAGCTTCTTCCCCACCCCGTATCTTTTGAGGTCTGTAGTGATGTGCTTTGGTTTTACTTACTGTAAGAGAAGGCGTAGTAGTCGTAGCCATCGGGCTTGTTCTGGTTGGGTATGGAGAGAGTTGAGTGGACAACCTTGGGGAGCCCTCTCCAGTACGTTGTCATTTGGATTTCCTTGCGCAGAACTCCTGCAAGCAAAAGGAACCCTCCGTGAGCAGCTGTGTCCTCTACACCCATTAAAACCTTCCAAACACAAAGCTGTGCCAGCACCTACAGAGGTGAAAGCACCTGTGTAAGAGAGCCTGAGTGTCCCCTTACCAGAGGGGTGGGGGTTGATCCTGACAGTGCGGATGACGGTCGGCATTCGCACCGCACGCTGGAAGCGCCGCCGGATGACAATTCTGGGGACAAAGGCTGGGTATCTGATGGTGACCTGGGGTCTTCTTTGACACTTCTTGGCTGGCTCTTGTCTGTACACGTACTGCTGCATGTTCCCATCTAAAACACACATTTGTTTTGTTAGTTTTAAAAAAATAAATCAATCCCCCCCAAAAAAGCACCCAACTTGATCAGGTATGAAAATGTCTTTATATTCCTATCACACACAAGGAATCAATTACAACATTCTTGTGGTGGCTGTACAGCCCACGCACCATTCATGTAAGATAAGGAAATTTCTTTAAAATAAGAAATCAGAATAGAGATGGAAATTTCCACACATAGTAATGAACTAGCAAGATAAAAGCCTTCGCTTCTCTAATTAACTTGAGACTAAAATAGCTTTACACCAGATAAAACTTTTTTCAATGTTCAGCCACTACATGGCTGGATTCCTGGATTCTCACCCTTACAGATCTGGTTTAAAATGCACTGAAAGACATCCAAGTTCTAGTATAAATTTTTTAAAACTTCAGGCTATTTTTGAGCACCTGGAACACTGGCATAATTTGTGTTTCTGTGTTTGAAAGAAATAGGTCTTGGGTCAAGAGAAACAGCGTTTTATTCCTGATCAAGGCAATTCAAGCCCCTTTTGATGTTCCCTGAACTTCAGGAATACAAGACATACCTCTTTTGATAAAATAAACAGATTCTGGTCTGGTGTTGTATCTTGCCACAGGGAGGGTTGCTACTATTCTCCCACTTAGCCCTGCAAATCCAGTTGCGAGAGGTTTGGGATAGCCATTATCCATAACACCATTAGTGAAGCGCCAGTACAGGGGACCCTGAGCATTTAAGAGGAAAAAAAAAAAAAAAGCTTCAGAGGAAGTTAATTCCTGGTTATTCCACTGCAAAACAAACATGAAGAATAATCCATAAATAAGCACTAGCACTTTGATAGCTACATTGTAAATCTGACTGGAATCATTCCTACATCCATACAAATGGGTTAAAACTCCTACAACTTCATAAAGTACCTCCTGCAGCCCTTTAACCTTGGAGTAGGGCGAGTGTATTTTAGAAGCTAATTTTAAAGAGAGGGTTGCTGAAAAAGGGGTTTCCTTTATAAATTCTTAAATTTTCATAGACATAACAAGTAGTTTGAATTCCAGGACTGAGTGATTTATTGGGAAGTAACTGCATAACAGCTTTAATGCGGCATGGGCATTTAATTAGCATTCTATTTCAGGTTCGGAAACATACTAGAAATCATTTTAGGCAATCTTTCCCCAATTTCCAATCTGAACCTCCCCTGGTGCAACCTAAGGCCCTTTCTCATCCTGTTATTGTTGCCTGGGAGCAGAGCCCGACTCCCCCCCAGCTGTCCCCTCCTGTGTGGGAGTTGTGCAGAGCCACAAGGTTCCCCTGAGCCTCCTTTTCCCCCAGCTGAGCCTCCCCAGCTGCTTCTCATCAGCCTCGCCCTATCGTGCCGGCCTGGACCACTCCCACCTTGATGAAGAAGGTTTTTCCATCGCAGTTGCACCTGGAGAAGACGGAGTCGATGGGCGAGGGGATGCCCCAGCCGTCGGTGATCCGGCGCGGGTTGGTAGTCGGCGGGCTCCGGCCGTTCAGCAGCCAGTAATAGTGACCTGGAGAGGGGGACAGGCGTGAGGGGCACCGGGGACAGCGAGGGACAACGCCGTCCTGCCCCGGGGCACGAGGCTGAGCCGGCCCCATGAGGGATCTGAGGGGACGGACACGGCTCAGGAGAGTTTCGTGAGGGGTGAGTGGCACCGGGGCGAGTGAGGGAGGAAAAAGGAGGAGGAAGAGAGACGGGGCAGGTGAAGGAGGAGGAAGAGGTGACAGTGAAGGATTGGGCTCGGGAAAGGTGAGGGAGAAGGAGGCTGAGGCAGGTGAGGGAGGAGCTGTGCGGGGGAAGAAGGAGGGCCGGGGCCGGAGCTGGAGCCGGTGTAGGAGGAGCGGGGCCACGCCGGGGCAGGTGGAGGATGTTCGGAGCGCTCTCACCTCGGAAGACGGCCAGGGTGCCATTGGGCAGGGCCACCATGCCGTCCGCTGGCTTGCCGCTGCACAGGTCCTTCTCGTCGTTCCTCTCTGTAAAACACAGCCAGGTGGGTTTGTTTAAGGTTCCACAAGAACGGCCTTAGCTTTCCCCTCGGCCCCGCTGGTGGGCCAGGGATTAATTCCAAATGGGGGAAGTGTTCTCGAGAAGGTCGGCTCTGGTGCGGTGGCCCCGGCAGTGCCGAGTGACCAGGTGTGGGTGTCTTTGCTTATTGCCACCTAAGTACCTGTAATTCAGGAAAACACCTACAAACACCTCGTGTGCTACATGCTCTAGGATTTTATTGTTCCTTTAAGCTACTTTAGCGGCTTCTCTTCCTTCTTGTTATTTCTTTTTTTAAAAAAAAAGCATTTATGCTTTTTTTCAGTTATATATATATATGCAGTTAAATATGAAGGAAGGATGAATCTTATTTAGACTGAATTTCAAGTATTTTGCATCTAAACTCCCAGTTTTTTCCCCAAAATATCTTTCAGTATCTGATTCAAAAATTGCCCAAGAACCTGCAGGCTATGTCTGATTAAAATAAAGAAAGGGCTGTGGCAAAAAGCAAGACAAGAGAGTTCTTGTCTCTTTTATATGATATTTTTAGTACATGGCTACGAAATACCAGGTTAGGTACCATGAGGGAGGCTGGATATGCAGCCTGACTTCTAGCAATTTTTTCATGGGATTTAGAAATTTGTCATCTTTTTCCTTGACTTTTTGTCTGTTTGCATCTTCTACAATAGCAAACAGAAGGAGGAGAAACTTATAGCAAACAATTTTCAGTATGACCAATTACTGAAACCAATTATTGTAGATTGTGTTCTAAACTACCTAGAGGATTTAATTAACTCCACAGCTGCTGATGCTTTCGTACCTGCTGGAATGCACTTACCTGGTGTTTCTCCAGGGAACATTGGCAGGTCCCCAACTTGTATTAAAGGCTTGTTTATCTCGGGCTCTTCTTTTGCTGGCAGAGTTTCAGGTTCAGTTGGATGAGGTTCTTCTGCAGCCTCAGTGACCTCCTGGAAATGTATTGTTGGCTTGGATGTCCCATTAGACACAAGATACATTTCTTCTATTGTGTCCTTTTTGTCCCTTGTTGTGGTTTCTTTGGTAACTGTAGTTACCTCTTCTTTGGCAGTACCAGGGGCCTTTTCAGTGACATCTTCCATTTCTTTTTCAGGTGTGGTGCCCATTTCTTTAATGGTTGTTTCCTCTTTTTTACTGGCTGTTGTCATCTCCACAATAACACAAGCAGCACTTGGGCTTTCTTTGTCTGCTGCTGGCCCAGCCTGCTCAGTGTCTGTAGCTGTCTCTTTTTCTTTTGGTGTTACAGCCTCACTGGGCTGAGGAGTTGAATCTTCCTCGATGGTTGTTACCAGCACAGTGTGACTGGGCAAGGGAGCTGTGGCTGCTGTTGTTGCAGTCTTGGTGTCTGTAGAAGTTGTTTCTGATTCAGTTGCTGCAGTGACAGGATCCTTGGCCGTAGGAGCTGCATTTGGAACATCATCCATACCTTTAGGAGAATCACCTGGTTTAGCTGTTGTCACCATAGCTACAGTAACTGTGTCTTTCCCAGTTGCAGCTGTGAAAATGTCTTTAAGCAGAGTAGTTCTGTCTTTCTTTGGTGTTGTTGTCTCCTTGATCTCCATTGTGATATCTGAAAGCATTGTCCCTGCCCCAGTTGTGGGGGAGTCCTTCCCAACTGTTGTGGGTGCAGCACTACTCGGAGAAGCCGTGACTTTAGTGGCCTCAGGGGCAGCAGGGGTGGGTGGGGAGTCAGCATCCTCTGCTTCAGGGGTGGTGGGAGAGTCTGCCTTGGTTGTAGGTTCTTCTGCAGTTGTTTCTTCAGGTTTAGGGGTAGTGGGAGAGTCTGCCATTGTTGGCTCCTCTGGGGTTGTCTCTTCTGGTTTAGGAGTTGTGGGCTCCTCTGGGGTCGTCTCTTCTGGTTT